GCTCAGTTTTCCCTTGTGGGGAGTCAAGAGATGCCTGTGTGAATGGATGTGTGAGGAGAGAATGAAGTCCTGAGTGGATCTGTAGAGTTGACATATGAAAGACCCACCTGATCCCAGCTCTTCTTCTAGATGTGTCTGTGTGTCTGTCCCTTCTTTATTTCTTCATCGCCCCAGTCAGGTCAAGTCCTAAGCTGTGCTGGATGCATTGTCCCTCTTGTATAAATGGAGGTAATAGGAAATGCCTCAGAATGTGGTTAAGGAAAACATATGCAAGAGCATACATATAAAGCTCAAAGTTGTAATAGGAGTCTAGGGTCATAAGGAGCTATGCAAATAAACAAGGAAGACTGGATAAAAAGACTGTAAGATATAACAAAATGGACTGAGCTGGTGGCTCCATGGGTAAAATGCTTATCAAGTGTGAAGACCAGAACTTGGATTCCTGGCACCCATGTAAATGCCAGGAGGGTGTGGTGTCCACCACACTGTGAGATCCCAGTACCTAGGAGGCAGAGACAGGAGATGCTCAGGGCAAGTTAGCAAACTAGGAAAATTCATGAGCTCCAAATCCAAGAGACCCTGCCCCCATATATAAACTGAAGAGGGACTGATGAAGACAGGGATGCCAACCCCTGGCCTCCACATGCTTACACTCAAATGCACACACGCACCTGTAAACATACATTCACCCGCACACATACACATGGGGGAAGAAGGGGGACAAATCATAAAATGTAGCTCGGTGTGTCATCCCAGCTGTCAGGAGGTAGAGACAGGAAGGTTGCTGCATGTTTGAGGCTAACCTGGTCTGCAAAGTGAGTTGCAGACCAGCCTGGACTACAATAGCGAGACCCAGTGTCAAAAGACAAAACAATTGGATAAACAGCAAAGCAGCCCCGTGGATGAATGCGGCTCTTGTTTTCCGGGGTGACCATAGCTTTGTCACAGGACTCTAGTCAGGATTTGCTCTACTTCAGTGGAAATAGCTGACATCCAGTGGGAATATGCCATTCGTAGAGAAGTCTGACATGGGTCATCTTACTCTGCCAAAACTTTCAAATGTCAAACCTTTCACCAGCTGGCACATATTAACTGTGTGCCTTGGAGACACCAGTACTGTTCTAGTGACCAAGCACTAAATGATTCCTACACACACACACACACACACACACACACACACACACACACACACACCAGGGTCCTGAGAGACATGGATATTAAACAAACATGCATATCCACATCCACAACCATGGTCGGCTATGCAGTGTCTATCTACACTAAACTGAGCTGGGCGTGGGATAAGGCCTTTCCGAGCAGGTGTCTCCTCTAAGAACAGAAGCATGGCAGGAAATGGAGTCCAGGCAGAAGAGCAGATAGAAGAACTTGGAGCCCCAACAGAACTTAGAGTGGAGGAGACAAATGCCACATATCTGGAGCATAGCAAGACAAGGAAGAAAGGGACAAGATGAGATTTAATAGACACGGGAAGACCATGTAGGGCCGAGCAGCCGTATTAAGGAGTTTCAGTTATGGCAATGAGACTTGAACAGAGAAGTAATGGTGTCTGGATTTTTAATAGAAATAAAATTGTGGACATGAATGGAAAAAAAGTCAATTTGAAGGCTTGTAAGTGGGCTTGGCATGAGGCAGGGGTGATAGCGAATGGGAGAGGGAACTGGGACTATAGCTTAATGGTCAAATAATGGTTTAGCATGATGAAGCCCTGGGTTCAATCTATAGCACTGGAAGAAGAAAAGGAGGAGGAGGAGAATTAAAGGTATATATTAGAGGTTAAAAAAAATCAATAAAATTTTCTGATAGTTTGCATGTGGGAAGGGAAGAAATTAAGCTCAGGTTAGTTTCTGATGCCAAACTCTGTATTTCCTAGATGTGTTCACAAGAAAGATTAGTGACGCCGAAGAAGGGAATAGATTGGGACGCTTGTAGAAATGGCATATCAATGCTTAGCTGTGACTTTTAAATAATGTTTCTCTCCAAAAGTACCGGGACTCTTTGGAGAAATGGCTGATGCAATCTGCATTTCTGAAAATCCGGGAAACATTCCAAGATTACGTGACAGAGACACAGTAGCCAAAATGAAAAGACTTCTGTTGGCAATGGTCTGGGCAATCGGAGTATAACTTTTGGGAAAAAGTCATTACATCTACAGAGTTCCTTGAGACCAGATGAGACTGACAGGAACAGCAGATGGGCAAATGCTGAGGGTCGATTGAAGGCCACTGGGGCACGATGCTCATTATTGTAAATACTGGTACATCAAGGGGAAGAATCAGGCATTTTTCCTGTCGTCCCTGCGCAAGATGTATTCAGGGTGATCACATAATTAGCTACAGATGGAAAGTCCCGCTTAAAGAGTAGTTCCCACTAAAAGGATGCCAAAGGAAATAAAATTAGAAAATTCCCATTTCGTAATCCTAATGAAGTAATGAAATTAAGCAACAATCGCGGGATGGTTCTGTTAGAGCCACCAGGGCAAAGAAGATGTGGATATTTATAATAAGTCAACTTCTCAAAAAAGCTATTCCCCCAAGCCAGGAAAGGAGGATTTAGAGGAATAAAGTAAATGATTCCAAGTTAAAAAAAAAAATCGGATGGAGGACATAGCTCAGAGAGCATCTACCTAGTATATATGAGGCTTGAGTTTGATCCCTAGAAACTTACAAAAAATAGTAAGAACAAGCAATATGCTAAGTGCAGTTTCTGGACACTTTATAGGACAAACGGCCCTGTTTATTTGCCCTGTGTATACTAATTAGCCCTAGCACCATTTATACCTCTCAAAATGGCATTAAAGAGGCAAACAAACTATTATATGGCTGTGGGGGTAGCTAAGCGCTAAATCACTTACCTGGCATGGTGATAAGGCCGAATGAAAAAGCAAACAAAATAATTCATTTTTACAATGAGTAAATTTTTGAGAGACATAACCAAATGCTAACTTTCTCTAACTAAAGAGAATTCCAGTGCTAGGAGAATGACAGGTAGAGAAACCAGTCATGTACATTATTGTTTTGTTTTTCAACAGTTTGTGTCACAGAGAAATAATATAGTTGCTGGAAGGGATGTAGCCCCAGGGAGAACATGTTCACGATGAAACTGAGCATTTGGGGGCAATAAAGAGAATGGCTGGAAAACAGGAGGCGAAGCGAGGAAAATCAGAGGGGGCTACTAGAAACAGAAGGAGATGCCCCCGTGGAAAGACAAGCTTTGGGGTAGGTCCTGTCCTACCCTAAAAATGTTGATTGCAGCAAACACGAAATGAAGACATGGGGCAAAAAAGGAAGCTAAACAACCCTGGAGACTGGAGAATGAACAGTACTTGGGAGATGAGATGTTTCCATCACAAGGAAGAAAGCAGAGTTAGCCCTACTTTCAATATGGATGCTCCCGTAGTTATTTTGATGGAGAGTTCTTGTTCACAACACTCTTGTTTATAGGTATATTCTCACTTTTTTCAAAGGTTTTTGCTTCACTAAGATTCCAACATGCTTCTACCAACTTCACAAATTTTGGTGTGTTTGTGATACAGGGCTTTTGAGTATAACAGGACCGTCAGTCTAGTTATGTCTTACCCAAGGATCTAGGGTGCCAGACACAGTCACCAAATAACAACCAGGGGTAGTGAGTGACTCTTGAGTTTGTTGTCTTACAATCAATGAAGATTAAAGCGATGAACTGCTGTGGGTGGGTGTAGGCAAGGTGGAAATTTACTAAGGAGAATTCCAGAAAAAAAAAAATGAAACATTGAGGAAAAGTGAGAAATTAGGGGAAAATGAGAGAAACTCCTAATGAAGGGTATGATTTCCAAAAAGGGAGAAGTCATTTCTTGTCTAGAATTTTTATTGAATCATAGCAGAAACTCAGAAACTTGCTATAAGGATTGATCAGCTCTAGCTATCACCGGTGAAGCCAGTGATGGACCTGTACACTCTAGGCATGTGTACTGGCCCAACTAGGGAGATAATCACACTCTGTTTATGCACTGTACACCAAGTTAGGGGTGGTGGAAGCCCCCTCCTGTTCAACTTTGTCTCTGACTTTGTTAGCTATTGACCTTGGCTCTCTGCTCATCGCTTGGCTGGTATTACTGCCCAATGTTGCAAGTGAGTCAAGTGCTATTAATTATTTTAAGATCTCTTTGTTCCTTATGGTGACCAAAAAGTGACTACAATTATTCTTAGTTAACTTTTTGTCTACAGGATGGTCTGTAGTTTCTTAAAACAAGTGGAGGCATTTTTGGAAGCTGTCATTTCTTAGTCTGTTACAATCAGCTGCATTAGAAACTAGGAGATGAGCCAGGCAGTGGTGGCGCACACCTTTAATCCCAGCACTCAGGAGACAGAGTCAGGCAGATCTCTGTGAGTTTGAGACCAGCCTGGTCTACAAAGCAAGTTACAGTACAGCCAAGGCTATTACACAGAGAAACTCTGTCTTGAAAAACCAAAAAAAATAGGCTAGGATATGTACCTTACACACCCTCCTCAAGGGCTTCAAGGGGGGCCAGTTGGCCTGCCATTACTGGCCTAGGGCTCTGTCCCTCTTTATTATTTGTTTATCATTTGGGGCTACAAGCCCTCTCATTCCTCTTCCTCAGTGCTCCAGACCTCGCCACTTCAGCCCTTAATTTTCTTTTTAAATCCAGTCTTTGTCCTGCAATATAAGTGAACAAAACAACCCTATTCTTCCAGCACACTATGGAGACTGACAGTGGGCCACATGAATAAAAGTAGTGGTCCCACTTGCAGTTTTCACCATGGGTCCCACCCCCTACAAAATAAAGGGCACGTCTGTCTCACTAGTATGCTCTTCAAAATAATTGTGTCCTTGTAAAGCAGTCTTTACAATTAATGTCAAAGACTTTACAGTCCCATATGAACAACGCCACAGTAGGTGCTTTGTCCTGTTACCAGACCAAGCTTGTTTCACCAGCAATACAGCAAAGCAGTCACTGAAACAAAGTTTACTCATAGGCAGCCCCAGACACGTAGACAGGAACCCCAAATCTGAAGCACTCCTCCCTGGAGATAAGATTTAGGGGCACTTAGAAGACAGAGGCATGGCAGTCTGGAGAGTGGGTACAGGCTGTGGTAAGAGTTTCTTCCAGAAAGGGGAGGAGTATATGCTCGCACAGCCCAGTCATCTTCCTATATAGCCTTATGAGTGCCCAATGAGAATGGACGTTAATATAGAAGTGGAGACAAAGGAGCTGAAAATGTATAGAAAGCAAGGCCCTGCATTGTTTGGGGTTCAGCTTTTTGTAGTGAATTGGTCCAACGGGCAGTTTCACAATGGGTCCAGAGCCAGTTCTGGAAAAAAAAAAAAAAAATCTGTGTTGACAGAAAGCCTCAGCATTCCATTTCCCTGCCTGAAAAACCCATTGCAAGGCAACGGGAAGGAAAGTCTGCAGATGCTTACATGTCCTGCTCTTCACAGGATGCATGCTAAGCCCTTGGCATGAGCGCTCTCAGGCTGCAGTGTTAGGAACAAGTGAAGGGTCTGGGTTTTCAGCTTATGTGAATTACCTCTGATTTCCTGGGATGAAAAGTTGCCACCATCATGACCCGTCTCATGTGATATCCGAAGCAAAGCTAATGGAGTATACTGTTGCGTAATTCCTAAAAATGGGGATAATGACGAATAACTCAAAGCAAGTGTGGCTGGAGGACTTATTCAGCAATAATTGTCTTATGATATTTTGAAATCCATTATAAACCACGTCTGGGCCACAGGGACCTTGACAGCCCCATTGGGAATAATGCCATGTTTCAATCACTGTAGTTGTTATTCTCAGTAAAATGAAGAAACTAGATTGTTCTTTTTTCCTTTCTCTCATTTTATTTTTCCTTATGAAGACGTTTTCACCTGAAATGGTTTTAGTGTTTGTTTGGGATTTTTATTTTTAGCACCTTTTAACTGAAATTTAATGTGCAAATCATAATATTCCATTTTAGCGTGTACAGCTCCTAAATTTTTGCAAGATTGGGCAATCACTACTGCTAGCCACATCCAGGGCATTTTTAGCATCCTAAAAGGAATCCCTGTAAATGTTCACAGCCATCCTCCATTTCCCCCTCCCATCTCCTAGGAACCACTATTCTATGATGTGACTTTATTGATATGTGTTTTCTGGGAATTTCATGTCAGTGAAATTATATAACATATGCCTTTATCACTGGCTTCTTTTACTCTGCATAATGTCTTGAAGGTTCATCTATTTTGTAGTATGCATCAGAATCTCACTTACAGCTGAGGGTCCAGCTCAGTGACGCAGCATGTGTTTGGCATGGGTAAGACCACAGGTTCAATTCCCAGCACTAAGCAAGCTCACCAAACAGAACAGAACAAACCAAAAACTTCCATTAATTATGGCTAAGCAAAATCCCACTGTGTGTCTCGATCACACTTCATTTACTGTGTTAGTTTTTGTCATCATAACAAAGTAGCTGGGGAGGTCCAGTTATGAAGAAAAACCATTTGTTTCATTGTTTTGCAGATTCTAGTATGTGATCTAGAGTATATGATCTATATAGTATATGATCTAGTATATGATCTATTGGCCAGGTTGCATTGGGCCTGTGGTGCATCATCCAGGGAGTCTATGGCAGAGCACAATCACTTACCTTATAGGCTTGTTTGGATATGAACTAAAATCCTAAAGGCCTGTGTGCTAAAAGTTTGTTCCCTAACTTGTGGTACTACTGCAAGGTGGTAGAACCGTTAGCAGTAAGGCTGGTAGGAAGTATTTGGATCGACAGAAGCCTACCTTCAAAAGAGACATTGGAGATATGATTCTAGTCACTCATTCTCTCTCTCTCTCTCTCTCTCTCTCTCTCTCTCTCTCTCTCTCTCTCTCTCTCTCAAGCAAGGGCTTCGTGTAGCTCAGGTTGGCCTTGAACTTCTGATCCTGCTGCCTTCTAAGTGCTGGGATTTCGGGCATATACCAGCATAACTAGTTTCATGTGGTGCTGGGGGTTCTAGTCCATTGTCTTGTGCATACTAGGCAAGCATGCTCCCAGATGAGTTACATTACTAATTACCCCAGGCTGGCCTGAATCTTCCTGTCTTAGCCTCCCAAATGCTAGTATTACAGTCATGTGCCACCATGCCTGATTTATTTTCTCTCGAAAATAACTATGTAAGGCATTCACATGATTTCAAAGGCAAGACTGTTGATGTATGTTAGAGAGGTCTAGCTTTCATTCCTATTCCATTCATTCTATTATTCCCCTATGTCTTGGTTAGGGTTTCTTTTGCTGCAAAGAAACACCATGACCAAAAAGAAAGTTGGGGAGGAAAGAGTTCATTCAGCTTTACACTTCCACAGGAGTGTTCATCATTGAAGGAAGTCAGGACAGGAACTCAAACAGGGCAAGATTCTGGAGGCAGGAGCTGATGCAGAGGCCGTGTGTGTGTGTGTGTGTGTGTGTGTGTGTGTGTGTGTGTGTGTGTGTGTGAGGGGCGGGGGGCGAGGGGGGGCACAGGTACTGCTTACTAGCTTGCTCCCCCTGGCTTGCTCAGCGTGCTGTCTTACAGAACCAGAGCCACCAGCCCAGGGATGGCTCCACCTATCACGGGCTGGACCCTCCCCCATTGATCACTAATTGAGAAAATGCATTACAGCTGGGTCTCAATTGTCAAGCTGACACAAAACAAACCAGTACACCCTATGTGTAATTTTTTTTATTAGTTTGTTATTTAGACTGCATATCTACTTTATTGACATACAAAGCAATGCATACATTTTGCTCTCTATTTTCCCATCTGTTTTACAAGAAGACAAAATCTACACTGCCTCCTCCTACTCTTTTCACCTGTCTATACATCCTGGAGTTTCACAGCATTACACAAAGATTGTTCTCTTTTTCTGGGTGCAGCTGTACCGAGCTGCATTGTGTGGCTGCAGCTCCATGCAGCTGCACTGTGGGGCTGGACCATGATCAATTCAGTCTGTCCTCTGTGTGTGGTCATGGGGGTTCAGGATACATTTGTTGCCTGACTACATTGTGCCAGGCACTAGGAGTAAAAACAAAGCCAGCTCTGGCTTCAGGAAGCTCAGCACAAGAAGTCTACAGTAAAGAGCATTCCTTAAGCCCAAGGGCACGCCTGGATCCACTGAGCACAGGGGCACATGTTACCAGAAAGAAACGAACCGCACAGAGCGGACGCAATAACCTCTTATTGACTAGCATCATGCTGCACTTGGACCTTTGCATGGGAAGGTTCCCTTGGATGTGGTTAACAGTGATTGATCAGGAGTGCCACCAATTGGTCAGAGGAGGAAAAGCCAAATGAAAGAGACCTCGAGTTAGGATTCGAATGACCACATTTCCTTGGCAAGAAGAAATGTAAGTTATTGGTAGTGCTGTGGCAGAACAATAGGAGCTACCATCTGTACAAACTTTATGTTGATCAGATATTGTTCTCAGTATTTATGTACATTAAACTTGAAAAAAAAAATCTCCCAACAGCCCTACGAACTTAGAATTATTATCTACATTTCTCCTTCAGTACAGAAGTTAAGACACAGAGATCTGAGCTATCGCACTTTTGCGGAAGGTCACTCAGGTGGGTGGTGGGGAAGCAGACAGGCATCACAGATAAGGTAGTTGCAAATAATGTAGTAAGAAGTGCATGCCACGGAGCTGAAGGGATGGAGGGCTCAGCAGTGAAGAGCATACCATGGCTGACATTCAGAAATTCAAGTTCAAAGACACTCTTTTCTGGCTTCCATAGGGACCGACCGTTCCATAGGCACGCACGAGTTGTACAGATATGCGTGTAGACAAAACACTTATGAGCATAGAACAATAACTTATAGGAAATTCTTCTTAACATAAGTATGTGCACCAAAGCATCTGTATGAGGCACAACTCGGACACCTTTCTTAACTGCGCAATTTCAGGCTGACAAGAGCACAATAGCCAAAGCAGAAATAACCCAGCAAGCAGCAAAGCAACTTTAAAAGGAAGAAAGAGTTGAAACTAAGATTCAAACAAAATTAGTGGATCCTCTTAAGTTCACGTCAGACGGGTAATGTGCCAACGTCGTAACAAGGTTTAGTGGGCGGCACACATCACGCACGAGCGTGAACCCCCAATCATCACGCTTATGAACCAAAAAAGGATCGACACGTTGCTTCCGTGGGGAGGAATCAAGTCAGTCCTACCAGTTTTGCACAGAGGGTGACTAGCGTGGTGCCGACTTATTTAGTTTTTACACACAAAACCTGATACCATGAAAAATTGCTGGCGAGATTTTGTGAGCATTCTCTTGTTTCTGCCCTAGAAAATGAAATCAGAAGTAAAAATCAGTGAGCGGACGCTTAATTATGCAAATATATTCTCCATAGCTCCACCTTTTTTGCTCGTCCTCCGCCGGGCTGTGTGTTGCTTTTCGGCCGCGAGTCGTGAAAAGGAGCGTGGCGGCTCCCCTGGCGGAAGTTAGTTTTGCACTTTACGGCCACGGGGGGGGGTTACCTGGGGCCGGAAGTTGCTGGATGCAGAGTCGCGACGGGAAAAGCTCTAGGTACCGGGAACCTCGTTGGTGTCGCGGCTCAGTAGTTTCTCTTTAAAACTTAACTTTTTGTTGTTGTCGTCGTCGTTGTCGTTGTTCTTGAGTCTTCAGAAAGGTTAATCCCTTCACGTGTTAGGAGTTTGAGGCTCGCACCGTAGCAAGCTCCCCGCCCCCCTTTACACCCACTTAACCGGACCCCACTGGATCCTTGTCTCAAACCGTACATGGTTTGGGTTCTGTTCACCGGGGGACTCCCAGCCCCGGGGAGATCTTCCCTCTGAGACTCCAGACCCCTCCCCAGCCCCGCGGGGGACCCCACCCACCCACCCGGGTGCGATCAGGAATGAAACTGGACAGCGCAGAGGAGATATCCCCGGGCCGCCCCTCCCCGGCCGCAGAGGGGTCTCCCGCTGCCCTCGAACATGCCTTCTCCAAGGTGCTGCACGGTCTGAGCCGCCAAGAGCCCGGGCCGGGCGACGCAAGACGTGCCATTCTTAAAGACCTCGGTGCTTTACTAGCAGCCGCCGAGAGCGACAGGTTATTTGAGGGGAGTCGGGGTGGCGAGTCGCTCCGGGGCATGCCCGAGATCCTGGGACAGGTGGCGAAAGCCCTGGAGAAGTTCGCAGCCCCACCCAAGGAGAAGGTAGATGGAGGCGACGGGTATTCCGGAGTGGCCGAGAAAGCGACTGAAGTCGGCTTGCTGTTTCTTGAGCTGCTGGGGAAGGTCGAGACGGCTAAGCGCTCTCCCGCCCGCCCCGCGTGGAAGACAGGCCTCCGCCCCTTGGCGGGACCCACGTATGTGTTTGCCACCACGCACAGATCGGAGCAGCCCTGGACCAGTCCGAGATCCCGGCATGTGGCCGATGAGGTGCTGTCCTCGCTGCTTCGAGTGGCTGAGTGCAGTTCCGTGGCAGGATTCCTGTGCGGAGAAGATGAGGACGATCGAGGGAGCTTTGCTGCGGTCTTGGGGCTTCTTAGACCCCATTTGAATAAGTGAGTACTGCGCTTCTCACTCTTACCTGGCCGGTAAAGATGTTGGCCTATTCGATCTCTCAAGGCCCAGGGCGGTTGTGACTTGCTGGAAATGAGGTAACCCGATAGAAGCAAATTCGAGATTAGATCCGAAGTCTTCAAACTCCGTTTTCTGCACCGAATGACTGCCTTGGGAAATTAGAAATTCTGAAAATAGCCATGGAAATTGTGTCCCATTTATATGGAATCAAGTATCTTATGCTAAGTACCCATGGGTATTTGGAAAGGATCCAGTCTTTCAGCTTGAATTTAAATATTGGGACCTCTAACTCTAATAACTCTTAATTATTAGATTAGGGTGATTATTATATACAGAAGAAATAATTGAAATAAAGTGATGAAAACCCTTTATTATTAAAATTATTATTATATATTATTATTATAAAGTGAATTGAATTGGATTGCTGTGGGTTTTGACTTGCTACTTTTAGTGTTTTGTTTTGTTTTGATCCAGGTTTTAATTTCGTTTATTTATATATTTTTGCGATAGGGTCTCACTATGTAGCCTTGGCTGCCCCGAAACTCTTATGTAGACTAGACCAGCATGGAACTAACAGAGATTGGTTTACCTCTAATTTCTGTGTGTTCCATTACACCTGTTCCAGGCAGAGTTTTTTGTCTTCTGATTTTTTTTTTCTTTTTTGGAAATGTTATTATTTTTAATTATGTATAGGTGTGTGTCTGCATAAGAGTGCAGGTGCCTGAGGAGGCCAGCAGTGTCTGATCCCCTGGAGCTGGACTTACAGATGATAGTGAGCCACATGGTATAGTTGCTGAGATCTAAGTATGGGTCCTTTGGAAGAGCAGCAAATGCTCGTGACCAGTGAGCAATCTCTCCAACCCCTTCAGGAAGGTTTTCATGGAGCCAGGGGTGACTGCCCTGAATTTCTGATCCTGCCTCCAAGTGCTGAGATTGCACATGTGCCCCACAGGCATGCCTCACCATTGGATTGAGCCAGGGCTTTGTGCATGTTAGGCAAGCACCTTAGCAACTGAGCTAGATTCCCAGGCCTCTGGCACCAGAATGATGAGACAAAATAAACTTGGAGCTAAAAGGCTTTCAAACTAGTGCCTCTTTCTTTTCTTTCTTTCTTTCTTTCTTTCTTTCTTTCTTTCTTTCTTTCTTTCTTTCTTTCTTTCTTTCTTTTTTTTTTTTTAAAGATGTGGTGTTGGGGATTTATCTCAGTGGTAGAGCGCTTGCCTAGCAAGCACAAGGCCCTGGGTTCGGTCCTCAGCTCCATAGATAGATAGATAGATAAAGACGTGCTTACTTTATAGGCTGTCTTTGAGCTCCCTATGTAGTCCATGTTGGCCTCAACCTTGAGAGATACCCTGCCTCAGTTTCCTCAATGCTTAGATTCCAGAGGTGCAACATTGTGCACAGTTTAGTGTTTCTTTGTATTGTTTCGGGTAGGACTAGGTCAGGTAGCTTCCATGAGTCTTGTTTTATTATTTGTAATCAAAGGCGATATACCTATTATACAGTTACTATTTTGAGGACATTAAGTCAGATGTGCAGACTCCCTTTATAAACTATAAGTTGGTGCTCATGGACTGATTTGTTTATTGCTTTGGCATTGTACTGGTAAGACACCTTTACTCTCCTCCCCCTTCTCAGCACATTTCACATCATTTACCAACTGACCACCACTGACCTCACAGGTCTTTTACATATCTGTAGTTGTGGAATGGCTGCTACTTACTGAATAAGCTTATATTACCCAGAGTTTGGGCAGTCACTAAGTATGTATAGTGTAAGTTATGTAAATTAATTCAATTCAAATCATAAAATGTATTTAAAAAAACAATAGTTATATAAAGATACATATATACATACATGCATATATGTATATATGTATAAATCTGTTAAAGACAAAAAAAAAGAAAGAAACTCTTGTTAAGCTTAACTAGTTTACTTTGCCATATCATTTTACTTAGTGTGGTTTCATGTGTCCTTGCAGGGAATCCTGGAAGAGTAATCCTGCTGTCAAACATGTTTTCTCATGGACTCTGCAACAGGTCACTCAGCCCTGGCTGAGCCAGCATCTGGAAAAGATACTTCCTCCATCTTTGCTCATCTCAGATGATTATCAGACTGAGAATAAAATCCTGGGTGTCCAGTGCCTCCATCACATTGTGGTTAATGTGGTAAGCAGCCTCATCTCTGGCCTGTACTGATTGGGCAGACCGAGTTACTCATGGATGCTCTTCATTTCTGATCTATTTTTGCTCTATGTTTATGTCTTATAAGTAACTTCCTTTTCATGTTGTCATTTAATTCACTTATTTATATTTTTCTCCATATATTATGTTATGTGTGTATATATATATGTACATATATATATACATATATAATATATGTGTTTTTCTCTCCCAACCTGGTAGAAGTAGTATCTCATTGGTATTATAATAAATAAAAGGGTAATTTTAGAAGAGATAGGATCATGCTTCATTATAAAAATGAAACAAAAGCAAAACCAAAACATACATATAGAAATTAACAGGTAGTCTCAAGTTTAAAAGAAAAATCAGAATTCAAAAGGAACCATACCAAAATGTTCAAAGTGTTACTGAAGGAGACTTTTGTATTATGGAGCTTTTATAAGGCACACAAAAGTAGATAGTGGGGGGCCCCCAGCTGGATCAGGCCCTCTGAATAGGTGAGACAGTTGATTGGCTTGATCAGTTTGGGAGGCAACTAGGCAGTGGGACCAAGTCCTGTGCTCATTGCATGAGTTGGCTGTTTGAAACCTGGAGCTTATGCAGGGACACTTGGCTCAGTCTGGGAGGAAGGGACTGGACCTGCCTGGACTGAGTCTACCAGGTTGATTGCAGTCCTTGGGGGAGGACTTGTCCTGGAGGTGGTGGGAATGGGGGGTAGGCTGGGGGTAAAGGGAGGGGGTGGGAGGGGGGAGAATAGGGGAACCCATGGCTGATATGTAGAACTGAATGGTATTTTAAAATAAAATATATATATAAAGTAGATAGTGGTTTACTGACTCTCCATATGCCCATATATAACTTAAAATTTTCTATATTTTGCCACTCTTGAAAAATTTTAACTGGATAATTTGTGTGTTTACAGCCAGCTGCTGATTTGCTGCAGTACAACAGAGCCCAGGTCCTCTACCATGCCCTTTTTAATCACTTATACATGCCAGAGCACGACCTCATTCAGGTATTGTAAGATATACTCCTAACTGTGTGGTTTCCGGCAGGAGAAGGTAGTATTGTGTAAGCAGGAGCAGCTTAGAGCTGTTTTCTCCTTAGAAAATGAGGACACCTGAAAGCTGCTGCCTACTAGAGAGCATCTCAGTGTTAGGTGGGCATCCACTCTCCTGAGCATCCTCAGCGTGGCCCAGGTTTTATCTTCATGAGTGTTAACCATATGCCGCTTGGGGGTAGGTCTGTTTTTATTAAGTTAAATGGTTTTCCTCTCTGCTGCTCCATGTTAACACATGTATTTGAAACCTCTTGTGTGTAGATACTTTAGTGTCATTCTCCCAGCCAACAGCCATTACCTGATATCTATTATGTGTCTATAGAGGTTCCAAGAATAAGTGACTCAGAGTGTTTCTGCCTTGAAACCCTTTGGAAGACTTCTATATAAATATATAACTGTACACATATATCTCTGTGTATGTGCAATCCAGCAACAGCTATATTCCAAGAGGTATAGTGTGACCAGCAGCAACAGGCAACTATCGAGGTTGAGGGCGGCTTTAGGAGACTGGGACTGACGGGATAATGTTTATGAAGGGTAAAAAGTAGTTTCTTAGGAGGGAGAAGAAAACTAAAGACAAGAAACAAGCTACACAAAGTGGAGACATCTTGTTTTTCTTTGTGCTGGCATTGAATCCCAGTCCTCATACATGTAAGGAAAGTGCCCTGTACTGAGCCTCCTCAGCCTGTTGCTTTGGTTTTT